GCTCCATTGTTCAGGTTGTTGATTTGATGGGCTGAATCTGGAGGTTTTGACTGATGAGGTAGGTACTCCATTGTAAATGCAAGTTTTGTTCCCCCTGTCATACCTGAATCAGTGTCTGACACTTTAGCCTAAAAGTTTGTTCCTGTCATGTTCCTCCAATTAAATATTCAGTGAAGTGACATGCTAGCAATACTTGATGTCTGAACTGAGAAAAACGGTACCACTGAATATTTTCCTTCTGTGGTAATTATGCACCACATCTCTACTTACACTGCTAATCTAGGTATTAGAGGCTTTGTAGTTCTGTTCTGTTTTGTTTTGTTTTAGTTTCCTTTTGTTTTTTCTTTTCTGCACTGTTAACAGCCCTCTCTTTCCTCCCCACAGAATACAAGGACTAGCAGAACAATGAAGACCTCTTTCTCCCAAGACCAGCAACTGTGGACTGAGTAACTGGCAGAGGGGGAGAGCAGGAGCAGTGTCTCAAATTCAAGTATAGCGCTCTGCAGCAGATAGACCATGTACAGTCTGTCATTTACCAACGTATCTAAGAAGTTGGCTTCTGTTGTTTAGCTTAACTGACTTCACTTTCAGGGTAAATGATAAAGTATCTTCAAAAGATTGACACATCCAGTGCTAAGGAGATTATTAGTCATTAACTGGAGTATGTGTTAGACATCTGCATACTCTGTGACTCAACATTGTTAAAGCAAAGTTTCCCTTTAGTTACCTGGGTTTGTTCTACAAAAAAGACTGGGGGCAAGTCATGTGGTTTATGCTTATTTTTTTAGTATCCAGTAGCTCTATACATGGTTCCTCCAGTTTGTCAACTATAGCTGTAGATGAATTAACTAACCCCTTTAAAGTTGGCTGCTAATAAGCACTGGGAACCATAAGCAGTGGTGAAATGGGCACTAATGACATGACTTCCAAAATAGGCCCCATCCTCCCAGATATGCTGTTTTCACACACTCTGCTAGCATCCCTACCAATAAACCTTAGGGTAGGATATGAAAACTGTCATGACTGAAAACAACCAAAACTTGCCTTTCCGTTGTTTTTGAGCTTAGAGGTGAAAATGCATTGATGTGTAACAGTTGAAAATGAATAAAGCCTAGGGTGATGTAAGTGGGGCAAACTAGAAAGTAACTTAATTCATCATAATTTTTCACTTTTGCGTTTAAACACACTGCACTATGAACAGCAGTTCTCCACAATACAGTAGGATTTATTAATAGAAAATACGTTAATACGAGTTAGTCTTTGTACATGTTAGTAACATGTACAGTGAAACACTTTTTTTGTCAATCTATAATTTTATATTTCTTTCATATTATTTGACACCAGTGTTTATTTTATCTTTTGGGCTTAAATACATTATTTGCCAAAATGTATTTCTGTGTTAATATAGTATTTTATATCTTTAGTTCATCCTTTAAATATTGAATCCATATTCAATTTCTTCCCCCGCCCAAATCAGTATTGCTCATGATAGTGCAATTTTGTTAGTATTGAGATAGGTTAACCATTCCTTCCAGACCATAAAGAACATTTTAATAAAACATTGAGATTTATATAGATCTACACAGCTAATCAAGATTCTAATAAGAAGCTTGTTTAAAAAAGTCCAACATTTTACAGTACATCAAATGCAGTTTATACATTTTTGGAACATTTCTCGCTCTCTGTGTTTTGTGGTATGTTACAAGGCTGAAGGGAGCAGCAGTAGGTGGTCATATTTTCCCCAATATTAAAAAGAGAAAATCTTACATATCCTGCCTGGCATGGGAGATGGCACTGGATTGCCAGGGCTGGAAAGAAGCCAGGAAATTCAGCACCTTCCCAAGACTCAATACAACAAGGAAGAAAGTCACTATTCTGAGTACTTGCCACTGGAGAAGAATGGAATAAAGGGGATGAGGGGAGGAACATAGAAAGAGTTTCATGCCATTTTGTGCCTTTAATCCAATATCTTTCACTTGACAAATGGTCAGCATTTCGTTTAGCCTCATGATTAAGAGAACCTAGAGGAGACAACATGGGCATTTTACCTGCTCAAAGAATTTAAATAAACAAAACTTACAACTTTCTGCATTATATAGAATCCCAGGTCCCTTAGGCCTATGTGCACGCCAGTAACAGGAGAAATGCATGAGTCTGATGGGCATAGTCAATCAGGGTGAACTTCAAGTTGCGAATGATGTTGCTTTTTTTTTTTTTTTTTAATTTTCTTTATACTGAAAATGTGCTTTGTTCAAAAGAGTGCTGCAAATGTCACTTATCTTTTTAGCATCAACTTAATAAAGAAAATATAAATAGCCTGTGTCCAAAATTATGAATAATATTTGTATCTACCTCAATATACATTTGGCCTACGGTGCCACTCCCTCCTTTTTATTTCATGCAATTTTTCCTGTTTACTACAAAGAAGAGCTACGGTTGCTTATCATACACTGGGAAGGTTTGCCAGAAAGATTCAACTACAGTGCTAGATTACTGATAAACCATGTCTACATCACAACACTTGCCCCAGTGACCTGTACTATTTTTGCTCTGTAATACAGATAAGGATTTGAGAAAGTTTTTCCTGCCTCTGGGGTATAATTCAGGCAATGCTGGGACTATTACAATGAGTAATCACAGAAATGTTTGTATCCCTAAAACAAACTATATGCTGAAGCTTCACTAATTTACAAATATTTCATTTGTATTGGATCCAGTTGTGTCAAGACTGTGCATTGCAGTTAGCTGAATGATATGAATACTATATATTGTGGATTTAATTTTTTTACTTCCAAGCTGTAGCTGGATGAAGATAAAAGTATCTCTGTTCATTGCTCCACATTTTGGAAAAAAAATAATAATAAAAAAGCTCATTCTAGCTCTTATCAGTTTCATTTTTTATCTGAGTTTTTAAATGTACAGAAATGGACAATGGTTTTTATATCTAAGGAATATTTTTGATATGATTAAAAGAAAAACAACTGTGCCTGTATCTCAGTGCTGGATCCTTGTCGAGATTTAAGAACCGCCTGTGCTAGCCTCTCTCCCTCAGGAACATGAAGAGATTACACTGCTTCTGCCTGTAGCACTTGCTAGTGGGTGGTCCTAGGGTGGCAATACAGACTAGGCTGAGCTTTGTCTTCATGGTAAGAATGTTGAGGGATGGGATCTTGAAGGGAATGGCATCTAAGAATGAAGGAATGGGTTAAAACCTTATAACTCCACTTGGAACTGTCCTAATATTTTGACTCACTATCAATAGTGGATGAGGAAAAATACATACTGGAGTTTCCACTGTAAAAAAATTAAAGCTTGAACAAGGAGAACAGCAGATGAAAATAACTCTTATCTCACACACACATGCACACACACACACACAAAGAGAATATTATGCATACATAGACACACACAAGCAAGAATGTGTATTTTTATGATAGGTGCTTGGAAATAGACATTCTTAGCAAATATGGATGACAGATCAATTGTAATTTATTTTCTTTTAACACTGTATCATCATAAAGAAAACTGGTATAAATGAAAAATCTATTTCAAATATCTACATCTAAAATTTTAGGCAGTGAAAAAGCACTTTGTTGACAAGGAGTGTGGAATGATGAATGTTAATTGTCAGAAACTGCTGAATGCCTTTTTTTTTTTAGTTGCCACAAACAAATTCACATATCAGAACGAACAATACTGCTAAATATTCCTTTTTGTTGTTGTTGTTAAAACGCACTGGGGAAAAGAAAACAAAAAAACTGGAAATTCATACATCTTTCAAAATTTTGAAATTGAAGCAATATTTAGAACCATAGATGAAGAAACACTGTGGCATTGGTGTAATATACACAATGCACTTGTTTTTTTTTTTTATCTGTAATGTACATCAAATACTTTACAACAATGCATTAACAAAAGGCAAGAAACATCTTGCTGTACAGAGGAAACCCCAAATGCAACTTGAAGCCTAGATTCACAATGAATAAGGATATTAAACAAAGTGTGAGAAGCTGTTCCCCATAAAGTATGTAAACTGCTTAGTGTCTTGTGCTTAACTCTTGACCCACATCCACTGTCATATTCACCCTCCTTCCTTCAGCCACATTCAGTGTACAGCACCATTGTTTTAAACTCTATAGGCCAACAGTAAAGTTGTCCCACACTGTAATATATATATGTATATATATATCTTTCTAATGACTTCCATGTTTAACTTTCATTTCTTTTAGCCTTCTAAAATATCTTAAATTTTCCATACTGATTATCAGGGCCTTCCTATGGAACAGGCTTTAACAAACTAAATCTGCAGGAAAAAAATGTCTTGTGGTATGCATGCACATGCACAGTTCCTGGAGCTTTTGTGTCTTGCCCAAGCCTCAAACCCAGGAATCTGGAGAAGCTGGATAGTGGCTTGTTTCATAGTTAAGTTCACTATAGGGACGAGCAGCTGAATAGAAGTCGACGTAGTTGCCAGTTGATTTTAGTCCCAGATGCATGTTGTATTCGCTTGCAGGTGGGCGATGATGCACTTGATCCTCAAAGAAGGACTCATCATAGTTTCTTGTCGAATTTTGAAACGGCTGATACGGTTCATAATCTTTTCTACTGGGCTCCTGTGGAACTGGCTGTGTTGAAACCTAGAAAGATAATAACACCCACAGCTTGTTAGGTGTGAGTAACACTGGAAAACAAACTAGCACAAGGGGTGCACAGCCAACAGTTCCAGCTCATTTCAACTTGTCAGGCTGGAGTAAGAATGCTGCCAGTAGTGCTTTATACTCGCATTTATTACTGCTTCTAACAGATGCTGGTTTGCTTAAAAAGAGGTAGTTAAACAGCAAAGGCTGTAGGATTTAGGCTTAGGCTGTGTGAACTAGTGGTGGGTTTGAGCCATAATCCTGGAAGATTGGAGCCAAACAATGTAGCTTGCAGCCACCTCTACTATAATCCCTGATGTGTTCAGTTCCTTCCTGTATCTTACTCAGATTCTTATTCTGTCTCCACATAACTGGACATAATCATAGGACTCAAATGTCTAATAAAGACACCGAATTAAACAAAGTTTTCTTTGGGGAAACCTTTGGCCCATGCATTTTTTAAAGATAGAAATAAGATGACTCAGACCAAAATTTCTAAACCTGGGTGACTAAAGCTTAGTATCAAGGCACCTAAATAAAAGTGGTTGGATTTTTCACAGATGCTGACACTCAGCAGTTCCCACTGAGTTTAGTGGGATTTGTGGGTGCTCTGCACTCTTACAAATTGCTTTACTTAAATTCCTAAATATGGATTGAGGACCCTAACTTGAGGCACCCATATGTGAAAGTCTTGGACTTAGTGCCTTGAAATATATCCCTTTCCTACCTTTAAATTGATCTATTTCCTAATCTCTTTATTCTCTAACATTTAAATATTACGTCACTCCTCCACTGCTGTTATAGTTCTTTGATAGCCTTGGATCTTGTGTATCTATGACGGGACAGAACACTCTTCCTAATCAATCACAGAAGCAAATTCAAACTATTTCAATGATTTGTTTTTGCACAGCTGAGCCTGAAAGTTTTGATAGGGAAAATTTAAACTACAAGTATGAATTTTATAAACCGGTGCTAAGTATCTTCATGACTGGATGTTTTTCTAAAAAATATGCTCTAGTTCAAGCACAGCCACTGGACTCAAGCTGGAATTAATTCACGGAAGTTGCATTAGCTGCGTTAGTCAGCTCAGACCAGATGATCACAATAGTCCCTTCTGGCCTTATAGTCTATGAATCTGAACTCCATTCTTTCTGCTTTGCTGCCTCTATGTAACTACAGCCAGCTTTCCACTGCATCCCTTTAAACATCTGTCCTTTTCTAAACGCTAGAGATCACAGCTCACTTTCTTATGAGGAGCATGTGTAGCTTAAGCTTGTGCTAGTGATGTTCCCAGACCTGCCAGCACCTTTCTTTCCTCTAAGGAGTCCCTTGATTGGCTCCAGTAAACAGATGAGAGAGTGAGAGCGCGTGCGAGAGAAGCAAAACATCCTGTAATAATCTAGATCCCCCATAGTGCTGCACCTCATCCTAGGTTGTGAATATTTTTGGAAATTTTAAACACCATTTAAAAAACCAAGAACCTTTAAATCTTACTGAATGTACTCTCATCCCACAGGCGACGTTCTGGTATGTTTTTAACATGCTGTATGTATAGTAGAGGCTAATTTATGATGTGTGGGTGCACCGGGGAGGAGGGAAAAGATGCAGTCATGCTTTCCCCGGTGCAGCTGTAATTTGGTGACTAGTGCTCTGGGACAGCTGGCAGGGTAACTGGCCAGTGCTGACTGCAGTGCTCTCAGCCCCAGCGTTGGCGTGGCCATATGGCCATGGCCTCACCAGCCGATGGCTGCACTGCAGTCCCGACAGACGTACAGGTTAGATCTGCAGAAGAAGTGTAGTACCTGCCTCCACTAACCATGCTCCCTCGCTTGCTCTTCCACTGCACAGGCACAATGCCTCTGGAGACTCTTCCTCATGTAGAGCCTCCCAGTCCGGCTCTAGCTCACAGAGCCATCACAGAACTCTACATATAAATCCTGCTTTCTTCCTTCACTCTAGCTGAGCCCACTACACACCACTGAGTATGACATGACATCACATGCTGCTGCATGGAGAGATCTGCGAGGCTATTGTATAAGCATCATGGCCAACACCATGTCCCTGGATGTCTCGGTATTTAAAAGCAGGGGAAGGAGTACAGCTGTATTGGGACCACTGCACAGTGTCAGTGTCACCCATCAACTACCACTGCAGTTAATGTGAGAAGAGGATGCTCAGCAAATCACAGGAGGTGTTCAGCACCTCACAGGATTGGGCTCAGTATTATTACAGCCGCCGTGGTTTCAGTACACCTAGATTCCAGGGGGTTGTTAGTAACTTGGACACTGTTTCAGCCCAAATGTTCAAACCTGGATGCCTTGGAATAGAGATTTGGATACACAGCTATCCCAACCCAATGGAATACAATTGTATTTAATGCTAAAAAAGCAACTACAGACCTGAGACTATGGCTTATTCACCAAAAGACACTTTTTTTGAATATACTGGCCTCACATAGGCTAATTGTAATGGGCATCATAAATGCTGACTGCTGTTGGAAATGAAACTCCCTTGGTGCTGCATTAGCTCACATATTTTGGGAATGCCCCGTATCAAGAATTTCTAATCTGAGGTGAGTCAAAGGACCAATTTGATAGTGGATGTTAAATTGGATCCCCCCCAACCCCTTATGTTTTGTTCTTGGAAATATTCCTGCTGCCTGGAGAGTACCTGGTAACAAGGCAGCGTGGTTCCAATGTGCAGCTTTGGGTGCTAAAAAATTAATCCTGCGAACATGGAAAAGTTGATTCCCACCAAACATAAAATTAATCCTGCGAACATGGAAAAGTTGATTCCCACCAAACATTGATGCCTGGCTCACTGATATGGCTGATCACACAGCTAACAAATGACTGGCATTCTGCAGAAGGGGTATGCCCAAAAATATAGAGCGATTTGGGATGACTTTTTTTAGACATCTATGATTAATGTAGACCCTGAAGAGAGACATGTCACTTCCCCTCCCAGCCCTTTCACCTAACCCTCTTTACTTCCTTTGTGTATTGTGATGAATCTGGTATTTTGGTATATTTGTTGTTTTTGGAAAAATGTAAACAAAATTATAAATACAAAAAGTAAAAACAAAAAACAAAACAAAACCCCAACACTCTTGGCTACCTAAAGTTAGTCACGGAAATAAAAATGTCCTATTTTTTCTGCAATTTCCATGAGTTGTGTGTTCTCTGAACCTCTGAGAGTAGGCCTGTTTAGATGTCTAAATATTAGGGCTGGTCACAAAATGTTCATCAAAATCACGTTTTGACAGAAAATTGGGTTTTGAATTAAACATTTTTTTTCTGCAAAAAGTGCTGCTTTCCACAGAAAATTTACATTTACACTTTTCATCAAGATATCAAACACCTGGAAACCGAACAGCTTTTGGTTTTCAAACTACAATTCCCATTAGGAATTGTGGGGGCATTTCTGAATCACAATGTTTGGTTCTCAGCCAAAATTTTCTGCAGAAAAGACCACTTCTACTAAATACGGATTTATGTACCTGACAAGTTTGCACCAAGTTCAAAATTTTTTGCCTTAAACTTGCTGTCTCATTTCCCATTCTGAAAAATGGATATAACACTTACATACTTTATGGGGATGTTGCAAGAATTAATTAGTGCCTGAGCACTTTGAGATCTGTGAATGAAAGGTGCTATTTAAGTGCAACATAGCATTGTCTATCATACAATTAACAAACAATTCCGCAATAATCTGAAAAGCACTCTATTGATGGGGGATCAGGAAATGCTCTTTTGTATCCCCCCCCACCCCCAACTCCATATACATCTATATTCTAATAAGGGGTATTAACTTGCCAATTATGGTACCAGTTAAATACACAGACTGCTCTATTTTTTCATGACCTGTTAAATGCACACTGTGGTTTTAATGGACAGACTATTCTAAAGGATTTCTATTTAGGGTGTGGGTCTATGCTTGTGTATGTGTACCATTACCTACTGGATGGAATGTACACACACATGCACAAATTTCCTCTTTAAAAAAACCATTGTGGGAATTGATGTTTGTGAAAAGTGCCCGGCTGACAAATATGGAAGCTAGTGGCCTCTATTAACACAGGTATAGCACAAACAGCTCACACTAAGGATGAAAGGGTAGATCAGTCTCTAGGCCCATTCAGTACTTGGCATCTCTGCTGAATCTTTTAAACAAGGAGAGCCAGGTACAGTAACTCCTCTCTTAACGTTGTAGTTACGGTATGTTCCTGAAAAATTTTACTTTATGCGAAACGATGTTAAACGAATCCAATTTCTCCATAAGAATTAATGTAAATAGGGGGGGTTAGGTTCCAGGGAAATATATATATATACGTATATATATATATACACACACACACAGTATAAGTTTTAAACAAACAATTTAATACTGTACAGTACACAGCAATGATGATTGTGAAGCTTGGTTGAGGTGGTGAAGTCAGAGGGTGGAAGAGGGTGGGATATTTCCCAGGGAATGCCTTACTGCTAAATGATGAACTAGCTTTTGGCTGACCCCTCAAGGGTTAATACATTGTTGTTAATGTAGCCTCACACTCTACAAGGCAGCACAAATGGAGGGAGGAAATACAACAGACTCATGGCAGTGGCTGCAAAGATTCCCTGAAACGGAAAGTGATGATGAACCCACACTATCCCACTGGAGTGCACTACTCCCTCTACTTTCCAAAGTGCCGGGAGGTGCGTGTATGTGAGACAGAGACACACACCGTGTGTGTGTGAGTTTGTGTGTGTGTGTGTGTGAGAGAGAGAGAGAGAGCCAGACAGACACACACTCTTTCTCTCTCACACACACGGTATGTGTGTGTGTGTGTGTGTGAGAGAGAGAGAGAGACACACACACCGTGTGTGTATGTGTGTGTGTGTGTGTGTATGTGAGAGAGGCAATCTATTTAGAGTGGGGTCAGCGTACTTAAAGGGGCAATGCACGTCTCTCTCTCTCTCTCTCTCACACACACACACCATGTGTGTATGTGTGTGTGTGTGTGAGAGAGAGAGAGAGAGAGAGATATGCGCATTGCCCCTTTAAGTATGCTGACCCCACTCTAAGTACATTGCCTTTTTAAGTAGATCAGCAAGTTGAGACAGCAGCTGCTGTCAGCAAGCTCCCTGAGCCCTGTCATGTCCCCCCCGTTCTGTGGAGATTGGGTACAGGAGCAGGGGGCAGGAGCGGGGGTAGGGGGAAACCCTGACATCAGCAGCCTTCTTCCCCCCCATCCCCTGCATAGCAAGCAGGAGGCTCCCGGGAGCAGCTCCAAGGCAGAAGGCAGGAGCAGCACATGGCACTGGGGGGAGGGACAGCTGAACTGCCGGCAATTGATAGCCTGTTGGGCGGCTGCCGCACAGGAACTTAGGGGAGCTGATAGGGGGGCTGCCAGCCCACCCTGGTTCCGGGCTGCTCTTCCTGCAAGCAGTGGACAAAGCAGGCGGCTGCCAAACAACGTTATAAGGGAGCATTGCACAACTTTAAACAAGCATTTTCTTGAATTGATCAGCGACGTAACAACGAAACAACGTTAACCGGGACGACTTTAAGTGAAGAGTTACTGTAGTGTCAATGACAGTGTTGTTTTTTGTGGTGCAGATACCTGACCACTTGGAACAGGATACACACCACCAAATTAATGGAACATAAGACATCAAAAAACCATGAGGTTCCCACTACTGGATGAGCTAGTGGAATTACTTAGGCAGAGTCCTGTGCTTTTGTAGTCTATGCCACATATACACATGTCGTCTATGTACTATATGCCGTTATAAATTGTTACACATTTTGGAAACTTGGGTCCAAATTCTCTGCTGGTACAGAAGAGCACAACTATTTTGAAGTCAATGGAATTGCTACCACTTGCAAAAGCACAGAATGTAACCCTCACTGTCCACCCTTCTCTATTATTTTAATGTTTTTGATTGTTCTAACAGGCAAAACAATGAATACATTTGCACTTTTTGTAGAGAAACTAGTGTTTTACTGTACTCACATACCTGGTTGTGTTTGATATCTTCAGCAGGTGCACCATAAGAATTCCTGTACAAAGTTGAGATTCCAGCATTTTGAGCTAAAGACAGAAGTAAAGGAGAAAAGTATTACCAGACATGTCTCTCTGCAGGATTTTTTGCAGTGATTTTGCTGTTATTACACTACATATATTAACATAATACCAGTTAAGATTTGTCTCAAGTAAAAAACATTCATTCTGGAATGAATATATATATAAGAATTAAGAATTGGAATCTTTTAGAGGTATATTGAGAGAATGATATTTTTTTCTTTTTTAATTAAGAGTGTGAGATTCTTAATTTGGGATTATTTCCTTCTCTTTGCGGGTTAGTAGATTAACTGTGCTGATTAAAAGTAACAAAGAAGGCAACTGAATTGCATCTTTGAAAGCACCAGCATGAACCTAAGCTTCATGAAGTGTGGCTGTTATGAGTTCACTTTTACTTTCACTTGCAAATTATCACATAAATGCCAGACTTTCCTTTTCTTCCCTTACCACCAAATAGTCTCATTCTTCACTTTGCTGTGTACATATATATCACTTAGTAATGTTAGTAGGTGGAAGTTATACCGAATCTGTGGATTTCACACATAAGTCAATAAGAAAACTTGGTATGCAAACAGCAATAAATCATAAATCTCAGGCTAAATACATTGTGTTACAGTATATCATTTATACATTTAACATGCAACTATAAATACTGGGACTAAAAAACCTGGCACTTTTGTTCCTTGGATCAGACACTTAGGATGATGATGGCCAAATGCATGAATTAGGTGCACTGCAATGCTGCTTTTGTTATAAGGTGAAACCAACCACTTGGGGGGAAAGAGATTTAAATTAGCTCCAAAAATGAACTGCCAAAAGGCTGATACCTGGTGAAAATGAAGCGATCTGGATGATCAGGCCTCAGCCTGTAAACTAATATCACTCTTCCCCAAGATGTTCCACAGTTAAGCTCATTGAGTGAATTGAGTTATGAGCCTGAAAGTGTTGAGATGAAGCAGTAATTCTAGGGACAAGAAAAATATCACATCTGTCCTTTAGAGATGCTCACAATTTTAGTAGGGATTTCAGTTTTTCTTTCCAATAACATTTTGAGCCCATGGGTGTCTCAAATGGGGCTGATTCTGCCCCTGCATTTGCCGTTACAACCTGAGATACATATTGCAGATGTGGTTGGAAAAAACGTGTGCACTTTGGATATTTGCAAGAATGCAAAGTAAACGATTTGTGCAGTGGCTGCAGGTCACTCACAGGGAGCATGAATATAGAACAGGTACTTACCCTACAGTAACTGTGGTGCTTCAAGATGTTGTACATCTTACAAGAACATAAGAATGGCCATACTGGGTCAGACCAAAGGTCCTTCCAGCCCAGTATCCTGTCTTCCAACAGTAGCCAATGCCAGGGGTCCCAGAGGGAATGAACAGAACAAGTTATCATCAACCATCCCCTATCGCCCATTCCCAGCTTCTGGGAAACAGAGCTAGGGACACTATCCCTGTTGTAATCAGTGTGGTTCCTACTGTAGGTATATATGTGCATTAGGTACATAAGACTATAGTTTTTCTGAATAGTGGAGCATGTGCCTATGTCTCCTTGTGCTCCTGTACAAGGGCAGAGTGGGAGTGGCTGCGACCCTCCTTCAGTTCCTTTGCAATTCAAAGCCCAGGTTAGCTGAGGACTCTGAAAAGCAGGGATGGAGGGCAGGTCAAGGAATCCACTGACTATAACATCTCAAAGAACCAGAATTTCTGCAGGGTAAATAACCATTTTCTCTCTTTGAGCATGTGTCAGTGTGGATCTGGTGACTGGCAAGCAGTATCCCCTCTGGACAGGTGAATGAGGAAGGCCAGTCAATTAGTCAAATAATGAGTAAAGCACTGCTTTCCTGAACTTGGTATAAGACCTGGCTGCCATGTCAAGGGTGCAATGTTTGACAAAAGTCAGTAGGTTGCTCTGCAGGTCTCAGGTACGGTCACATTCCTGAATCGGGCTGAAGATGCTGCTTGTGCCCTGGTGTAGTGTGTGGAGTACATGGATTGTACACTGACGTTTAGAGGGAAAGGCTCACCAGCTACTTGATAGCAGGCGGAGCAACACTGTGTGATCCGCTTAAAAAGTCTCTCTGCTGGGAAGGTTTGGCCTTTTGATGAGCCGAGTATAACCACAAAGAGATGAAGAAACGGTCTAAAAGGTTTAGTCTTGTCCAGGTAATGGAGCAAGGCTCTGGAAACATCCAAGAAACCTAGCTTCTTCTCTCCTGGTGTCGAATATGGCCAATAGGTTGATCAGTAAGGCCTGGTAACTTGACACTCTGAGTTGTAAAGAGCAGTAATAGTAAGATTTTTCTCCCAGACACATTGAGCCTTTTTGGGTCACTGTCTCCACTCCCCCACCCCCTTAGAGGTACACTTGTTTGATTTAGTCTTTTACTGCACTGCTCAAACATCTAAGGAGTCTGGGTTGTGGTGGGCATGGAAGTACTCAAATCCAGATTGAGAGACCTGGTACCTTTTCTCTACCTGTTTTGCAGTTGTAGTTATAACAGCTGGTGTCTGCCACCAGGCTCTAGCCAAGTGGTGGGCAACCTGTGGCGTGAGACAGTTTGTTTACATTGATCGTCTGCAGGCACGGCTGCCCGCAGCTCCCAGTGGCTGCGGTTTGCCGTTCTGGACTGGCAATTGTGAGAATGTCGAACTTATGGAATTCCTCTGATGTGACCAAAGTCTTTAGCTCCAAAGTGTCAACTATTCTCATAAACAGCTCTGAGACTTGAAGACATCCAGGCTGGTACTGGTGACAAGGAGACCACCTTGTCAGGTGACAAAGATGACAGGTCCTTTGGTGGTGTTTTTGCTCTAAAGACCTGTAAGGATGGACTCCCAATAAGCTCAATAGGGCCACAGAGGCATGCCTTTAGGGTGTTTGGTATTGACTAGAACAATGCCATTTCTGCTGAGCCCTAGGGGGAGAGCTGACAGGTCTTTCAGTAACAGATCTCAGAGGAGCAGGTTCTCTATTTGAAGGTGCTGAGAATGTATGTCCCAGTGACATGTGTGGATGATGCTGAAGTATATGATGCTTTTAGTACTAGGGGTTTGCACCAGTATGGATAGGTGTCTCAGTACTGATGATGGTCCCCAGAGTATTGCCATTGTCTGTAGACATCGACACTGAGGGATATGACACCAGAGAAGGCTTCCTCTGTGCCACAGGCTGCTCCTTATTATCAGAACTCAAAGCCATGTGGGTCTTGGTGGCTGTATCCCTGAGGCTTTATTTGATCTGTCTTTATGGGAGGACACTGAACTCCACCTGGAGTCTCTGCCTTTGAGATCAGAGCGGCCCCTCTTGGTGCTGAGCTTTGGTATGGTAGGTGTTGGCAATGGCTTTGCTGCCGATGGTGCCTGAGGTTCCAGTGCTGTGCAAATGCCAGGTCTTTCCTCATCACCATCTTCTCTGCTCTGGTCTTTGGAGTCACTTGCCTGCTAGATGGTGAGCTGAATGAAGCTGGTTTGTCCATTACTCAGATCCAGATGCCTGTTGTCTCAGGATCTCAAGAGACCTTCACAGATTGCTCCAGGAGATGAAGTGCGTGTCGCATAATTTATATTTTATTATGGAGAATGAAAGGCACATTGAACATTTACTCGGTATGTGGGGCTCTCCTAAATAGAGGAGGCACCTCCTGTGTTCATCCATCAATGGAATTGTTCATCAGAGGACAGGCACAGCTTGAAGCCCACAGATTTCAAATCCACCAAATTGAAAAGTCTTGTACAGATGGAGTGTCTGGAGGACCTGTGCACAGGGTCTGATATAAATACTCAGCCCAGATAGATTGGTATCATTCATGGTGGTCGTTTGTCACAGAATCAGAGGAGTTATGAAGATTTTATGAAAAGTTTGAAGAAATTTAGCCAAAGCTAAACTAGTGGTCAGAAGTTTGCCAGGTTCCATCTTACTGCCAGGGTGGTAAAATGGAACAGAGGGTCATAGTCTTAATGCCCTCACATAGCAGCAAGAGGAGCTACAGAATGCATACACAGCCCCAACGGACACTGATGTTCAGAAACAAACAAACATCATGTGCATGAGGTGAATGGAAACCACACGGACACATAGCAGAAGAACAGAATATTCCCGCTGAGAGAATTTGTATCATTGTTGTTATGCAAATCACAAATTCACATTGTAAAATATAAACAAAACATACACGGTACAGAGTCCTTTATTTAACATATTAAAGGGAAAATGGCACTCTAAGAGTTTGGGAATGCCAAAAGTTCCCAAAGCAGAAAACTGAGATAGTTTAGGGGAGAAGATGAGAGAGCTTAATCTCTTGAGTCAATTAAGAAGTCCGCTATGCCTGGATGAACAGTTGACTATTGATGTCAAAAACTGCAGAGGCGAGAGAGGGATGAATCGATCCACATTTTGTGGTTTGGGCCCATTCCTTGCTGAGATATTGTATAAATGTTAAGACATGTAAAATTATCAGGGGATGGGACAGGGAGGATGAAGAAGGAAGTGATTTTAAGAAATGGGGGAAGAGGAGGGATAGAAGGATAGAAAGAAGTATGGTGGTCAGAGAGAGTGAGGCAGCAAATGGGAATTGGAGCTGCCAAATTACACCCCAGAGGTGGCTGCATTTCAGTGATGGATGAATTAATATTTCAGTGTTTGTATATTTTCTGTAGTAACAATAGGTAAGTACAAGTGACTACTGCAGATGCTGATGTTACCATATCCATTTATATAAGGAAAAACTGGGAAGTTTTTAAGGGCAACCAGGATAGCCCAATACAGTTTGGGAAGAACTCTGTGGTCCCCTGGTGTGAAGGATGCTATATAAATCTAAACTACGCGTATTATTTTATAAGATGCCAAGCATTATATTGGTGAAAGTTAGCAGACAAATAATTCTCCTCAGCAGCCTTCTGTGAAGAACACACTGATAACCTTAAGACCAGCTTTGAAAAGGATATAGCTAGATATTTATGTGACAAAGATATCACTGACCTAAGTCTTCCCATATATCTTAGTTCACTTACTTGATTCATGGTTTAAGATTTACATTCGAGTTTCATGTTCCAAAAACTGCTGACTCTGGACACATTTATAGTACTTTGAACAAGAAGTCACTAGCCCAATGCCCTTGTAAGCGTAGTCTGATAGTCAGCGAGAAAGGGAAGGATAAATCAGTTATAGCCAGTCATCTGCCCCTTGTACTGCACGTTCTGCGTCTTTCGTTTCATTCAGCAGAGCTCCTCTTCTAAAATATAGTTCAGAGCAGTAAAGTTAAAACATTTGTATGTTATACAAATACCAGCCAGTGTGGGGGTCTCCTGCTTTCTTATCACTCCCAGCTTCCTGCATGATGGAAGACGTGACACTGGCATACGGGATGGCCCCTTTGGATGATGGTTTCTTTAAGAAAAGCAGGCAGTAAAAGTTCCTTTGGCAATGGCTGGAGAAAGACATTTCAGATGCACTCCCTCCTGTTTGTGTTCAGAATGGATTTTCAGGGCAACTGGAATGTGTGTGGGCTATTAGATGAGTAAGCCTGAACACTGACATTGAAGGGAAATGGACATTCTTTAAAGTAAGCCTGGAAAATGTTGATCCAGAAGATGCTTCTGCTCCTGGAGTAGTTGATATAGGACACAGATGGTGATGCTTAATGTCAGTTCAACAGGAGAAGCCACAAAGTAAAAGAAACATGATCTTCAGAGCACAAATCCCATGAAAGCATATTAAAACCTTGTTTTCCCTGTTGGGAGGGGAATGGCTGAGAGTCAAGCTACGGCATTTATTTATGGTAGTCACACATTTTTAGAGAACATAATAGGTTTGTTTCCTTTTTAATTTGTTTCTTATTATTGTTACAGTCCTCAAAAATAGGCTAGTTGTGTGATGATCTGTAAATGTAGCAAGGTGTTATAAAAGCAGAGAGAGCAAAGGAGAATGATCATACTGTTCCTGCTTTTCTCTTAGTCATCCCTCAGGAAATCAATGGTATTTCAGAGCTGCTTAATTCATTACTAAGGAACTTAACACTTTTTACTCAATTGTTTATTTCATAACGTTTCACTCTTTTCTGCAGGCTTCACAGACTTCCCCACATATTCCCTTAGTGACAGGAGGCCAACATTACTATTAAAAAAAAAACCTATCAGGTAGCAACCAACAGTTCACAGGACATTGTCTGGGACTGTAACCTGGGAATGGCTTTGTAAAACCTGGGACAGTTGTGGATAAATGGGCATATGGATATATTGGTAGATATGCATACTACATAAGTCAGTGGGAGAATTGCCTACATATCTTGCTCTGAGCATTTTTCATTGCATCACAACTCCAACTTGGCAAAATATTTCTCTAAACCTCACATGCTCCTTTACAACCCATCCATGTACTGACTAAAGTTCAGTGATGGATATGCAAAGTACGTGCTGCAGGCAGTGAGGGAATCCTTACCCCTTGTTAGAGGATGTAAACCCAGGCAAACAGGAGAACAGCCCAGTACAACAAAATATCTCACAACAAAAAACATAAAGATTGATTTTATATTATTTTTATTGAAATATTCTTATCCAGTTCACCTGGTTTCCTTTACATGTTTGTTGTCGTTTCTTGTTTCTCTATCACAAATGACAAATACTTTGTAAAGATGATCTGTACATTTGTTACAATCAACAGTCAACATATACTAGTAGAATTATTCACTTCATTTAGTTATTTATAGCTTTGCCTTCCTCAACTGGCTCTTCATTTGATGTCAGACCAACTGTACAGGGTTGAGATTTGGCAACCTGAAAGAGAGAATGTGATTCATGAACTCCTGTTTCAAATACATAGTGCATGTACAGTACTGGGAACTACAGTAGATCTTTTTAATTTGATGTTGTTACCCATCTCTCACAAAGAGCCGAGTAGCTGGATTGTAGAATGGGTAGCTTGAAGTTTGATGCAAACACTTTATTACAAAGAACCCAATGAAAAAGCAGTTACAATGGGTGAGGGAGAAATGGGGACTTAGGCACAACAGGGAGTGGAACTCAAAATGGAATAAAGGGGTTGGGGGAGTGCCAACCTTCATTCCTTAAAAAAACAGCAAACAAGGGGGAATGAGTGAAGTAAAGAAAAAAAAGAGAGGCCAGAGATACTGCAGTAAAGAGAAAAAAGAGAAAAGGATGGGGAGATGAATTGGAAGAGAAATGAACAAGGATTTTAAAAAGAGGCAGGGAGAAACAAGGTGAAAGATGTGTCATTAACTGCCAGAAAATGCCCTCCCCTATGATCATTCTTACTTAATATGCTTGCCTGAACTTTCAGATACTTTTAGAAGGAAATCGTATCCTTTGTCCTTCCCTACTGCCAAACTGGATTCTGACAAGTCTTCTTCATGGATGTATCCAAGATCCTGACAAAGTGTAACCATAGCTGAACACAGACCTGTCCTCCACAATCATGTCAATAATGGCCTTTACAATGACACTATTTGGGTGACAGGAAAAAGCGAATGGCAGCAACGTCACATCAGGGTAGGGTAGAACAACTCTATTCAGTGTGATTACAAGTCATTCTCAAACATCCCAAATACTGAAAACTAATGTCAAATACAGTACCTTGAATGAACAAATGACTTCCTCTTTGCTGCTTCCTTGTGTAATGGCCAGCTGAATTGTCTCCTAAGGCCAGAGGCAGACGTTAGGACTCCCAGGCTCTCAATGGTGTGCAAAATCTATTTGGCTGTTTTCCCATTTCTTAGATCACTTCTTAGATTTCATGTTAATTCATCTTCTTGCATGTTGCTCCTCCATGTAAACTCAGATGATAATCTGTAGGGTTTTGGTTACCAAGTACTGTACCGCACAGGAAATGTGTATGAGCAATGTCAGAACTTGAATGCAAACTTCTGGATACCGATTGTAGCATGGGAAGCTTGGTATTGAATCAGCATGCTGATGGTGTCCCAAGCAACATTAAGAACCTGGCAGAGGATCCAGTCTTGGAATCCTTCAAGATCTCTACAGATGTAATAATGGTGGGGGAAAATACCTTGGCATCATGGCATTTCTACAGGTCCATGTTGTAGTAGGATTAGATGTTACAAAGTATAGGACCACTCCTGATTGTTAGTATTTATTACATGTGTTGAGCTACAACCTAGATCAAGAATGTATACACATCTCTGTATTCACATAAGAGTTTTATAAGGAGTTATATTAATAAGATTCTTTTTACTTTCAATCTTATATCTGAGGTACTCAGACAACACAGAAGTTGATCTTTTTCACTATTACAGTAAACTCAGCCAAGCCTAGAAAATGTGTCTATCACAATCAATTTATATATGTGATATGTAAGCACAATCTCACCTGTCATGGTGTCTTTCCTGGAAGTGTGTTCTCCTTTATTACCATGGTAAGCGGCATTTGTTCCAGTTGATTCGTAGTCTGTTTTCCTTTCTTTTAGGCTGATCATTTCACGAGGTGAGGCTGGGGCACTTGCTAGATAGTAAAAACAAATAATTTTTCTCCCTTCACACCACTGCAAGCATATCTGGGGTAAACAATTTCGTAATATTTACATTTGTAAATATATAGGAATTAAACTGTATAAAATGCGTAGACAGAACTGGATTTGGAAAGGGGTTAGAGGTGCTGCTATTTCAAATATATGACAAATGTATTAAAGGCAGTTGTTAAAAACTGCATTTCTGTCTGAGCATTTTGTTCCTTCTCCATTTACATGCAACAACTAAGATGATCACAATGGAATGACATAAGCAGCAATTGTATTTTTCTTCATCCTTTCCATTTCTTTAGTTTGTACATTTGACAACCATTTTGCATAATCAGGTTCACTTCCCAAGGTATCATCAGTTTCTCCTTTGTTGAAAAAACTTTTATAATGATTAACAGGAAGCAGAAAAACCCTTATAAGAGTTATTCTTTGTTTTATTACTTGAAAATAAACAGGAACCATGCAACGGTTATGAGAAAAAAAGGCATTAGTATGGAAAATGTAACTTTAACTAAAAATACAAGATATATACAAATGTTCGGGTAAATGCTCAATACTTGAAAGTAACTCCAATAATTCTCAGAGTAGCAGCCGTGTTAGTCTGTATCCGCAAAAAGAACAGGAGTACTTGTGGCACCTTACAGACTAGTCTCTAAGGTGCCAAAAGTACTCCTGTTCTTTTTCCAATAATTCTGACTCTAGTATTATGGGTATGATTATCTGTATATACAGCAATGACCATTAAAAAAGTCAGCATCTACCAAAAATACCAAATAATCATAATAATTAATTCCTATTCAAGGTGATGGAAAAACAATGGGATTTCATATAGCAATTCTTTTTAATGGTGACCTCTCTGTCTTTCTGACCATACTGGAGTAACATCATTTAGTTAACTAAAGTAACTAGCAAATGTTGAGGGTGGGCACTGTATTTAACTGCATTCCTGGCTGCACATATCATTGTAGTATTTAGATGACAAATATGTTAGTAAAGGTTTATGATAAAGTGTTCATAAAATAGAGATATGTTGGATATTAGGGCAACAATTAGGACTTATTAACGTATTTCTTAAACTTTTATTTTCCCCAAACTAGTTTAAGAATAGAGGGGTTTTTTCTTCCATTGAGACCCCTATTACCAGTTCTGGGGTCTTGCTCCCAAAGATAAGAAAAGTTTGATTAAATATTTCTGGGGGATAATGTACTTTCTCAGCCTTTGACAAAAGTTAACCCTATAACAAATGAACGCCTCGACACAGTCCCCTAAGGTACTCTGGATGTTGCAGGGCTCTGCAATTCCCAGTACTTTATCGATTCCCCAAGACTGTATATCAGTTAAAGTTTTCTAGCAGGAAGAACATTTTTTTTCCCAATTGTTATTAGGCATTTACATTTCTACATGCAAACAAATCCAACCGGTTCTGAGGATTTTTAGTTTCACTTATTCAAAAGCACTAAGAATCTTTAGAGAGGAAGGAACACAAATAAAGAGGGATTCCCGCCCCCCAGAGCAATGATGAGAGGAAGCTTTTCTTTTAATAGCTTGGGTAATGGCAAGTTTGCTCTTTGTTTTAATGACTGTTTAAAAATCAGGCCCTTTTTAGGGAAAAATAATGTCACATAGTTCTTTCTCTTTCACTCTCTGGCTGGAAATCCAAAAGAATATCCCTTCAGGAAAAATAAAACTGCCCCACATTTGGAAATGGTGTCACAAATGTATTTCATCCTGGGCAGCTCCACTTTTATGTGTGATCAAATCTAACCAGAAATCCAGGGTTTCTTGGCCAGCAACGGACTTGCAAGGTTAAATCTTTATTAAAAGGATGTCAGCAATATTCTCCCTAGATGCTACCAGCAAGAAAGCTGTTGTATTATCACGGTGGACTTGGTAAGGTCTCTAGTGGTAAATGTGTTTTTGATTGCTGATAAACGTATGGCAAAATGATCGCTACTGCAGTCAATGTTTACTCCAGCTGGGAGTGAATGACCATCAAACACAAGGGGGGCTGTGGGGAGGTGAATAGTGTCCTGCTGTTATACCTGTTAACATGATTTTCCTGAGGCCCTTCTCGCTGCTTCACAATTTTAAATACAGAAAAACCCACAGGTTGCATTAACCAATTCCCCAAACAGAAAAAAGAAGCCTCTAACTCAAGGTCCTGTGCTAACAATTACAGTGCAACTTCTTACCGAACACTTTCTGCATTATGCATGGGAATCTCACTGAATCTTGATTTGGAGACCAGAATTTTGACCCAAACTGGGTAAAGTCAATAAAATACGTGTGAGGGTCTCCTTGAGAAATTCCAACACCCGTTAAACATCCTGGGGTTTTTTTTGGGGGGGGGGGGAAATAGGGACAGAATTAAGCTCCTGTTCCAGATTTTAATGAATCAAGGGATTTTATACCTACATATTTCAAATCTGGGAACAATGGTGACGGAGGATCACTGTCCATGTTGATACTGAACTTCCCATTAAGCTCTAATGTTACAACAAAGAAACGCCCCATTTTAAAGTCTTCTTATAGTTAAATTTTCAAAAAGCTCAGATACAATTTAGGCACCAAGAGAAGTGAGGAGATTTTCAAAAGCTCAGCCCCTTGAATGATGAGTTCTTTTGAAAACTGGCCAGAAGTGTCACAAAGGGACACGAACTCTTGAAAAGCAAGCCGTTATATGGGTGCCTACATAGGACCCGAGCTCATTTGAAAAAATGATCCCCAAAGTGCATACTGAACAATTCAATAATTGCCCCGATTTGTTATGTAATTTTGGTCCCCAAAATCTAATTTTTTCCCAGGCATACACATATGCAAGTTCCACTGAAATAAATGAAGGTTCTGTATGTGTATATTTAAGGCAGAATGGCTCAGTCATTATCTACTCTAGATTAGTAAACATGGGCAAAACACTGGAGAGAGAGCAAAACACGAGGATAGCGTTTGAGCAGCACTGATGCCTAATGAATGCGCTCTCTTATAAAAACAATTTTCGCCAAGTATTGGTATTTATTTTTTCCATTTTGATCTCAATATCGGAGGAGGTACTAGCATTTCTTCTCTGACACAAACTTGAATAGATGGACGGAAAGGCAAAAGCTTTGGGCCTCACAAAATCAATACACACCAGAGAGAAACCTGGCTTCTGTTTCTCAGCGTATGGGATGAGACTTGGAAGTGGTGTATGCCGAGAGTTTAGTTGGAAAGTTTCAAAAAGGTGAAAAAAATTAATGGGAAATGTCAATGAATAACAGATCCTGGCTCCACTGAAGTAAATGACAAAGCTCCCGTTGACTTTAATAGGGCCAGGATTTCATTCCAAGAGTTTATCAGAAAGTATTATAGATTTAGACTGAAAAAAATTGGACCAATTCAAGTACACCACCCCAGCTCTTATCAAAGAAATGAAGTAAAGAAGCACTAATGAGAGAGAAAGCATTATATAACACTGGGGTATTGGCTGGTCACTCAATATTCACTTAGAGACTTCCCAGCACACTTTAAAAGTTTTCTACTGCTTAGGAAACAAAGTGGATAATTATGGCTGTTAACTTGACAATGCTAAAACAAGAATTAAGATTAAAAGTGAGTTTCAGTTAAGATTTTTATGTAGGGCACAAGTATAACCTTTACATTTGTTGCTTAGTATGTTATTTGAACTCCACTCCTTTAATATCTGGTTTAATGAAGGCAAAGCACATCGACGAAATTTCCTTTCCTCACATTTAGAAAAGGTGGCTGGTATATTTTCAGTGTGATATTGTAATAGCAACGAATAATAGCACATTCATGTCCTCCTTACCATGACAAAAAGTGGACATTTATAATTATTGTGTCGTTTATTTTTGAAACTGTTCTGTTCATTACTTAAATCACAAGGACAGAAATTTGTTCTCTAGTCTCATATCTGTTCTTTTCCTGTGAGGCTGGTATTGTTTTATTAGAGTTTAACCTCTAAAGGATATGTTAATACATAGTAAGGTTTTAGAAAGAACATTGATGTTTGATAATGGTTCAGCTTATTACACAGTATTATTTCTATAGTTTACAAAAAAGATCTGTAAAAACTCATGCACAAATCTTAATCTTTGGTCATTTCCTCCAGCAGTCCTAATTTACACTGTATTTTTCTTGTTAGGATTAAGGTAACAAATTTGCATCGATTCAGAATTTTGAATAAATTTTCTCCCCCGGTTGGGACCCTTGGATTTAAGAACTAATGTTAAGCAGATGGCTGTGCTTATGTATCCATTAAAATTGGGGATTGCTCTTAAAGTGATTGTCCGCTATCTATCTAGCAAGGTTTTAAGACTCTGACATCATCAAAAATACCCAATCAGAATCAGAATATGGTTTTGGACATCATGTGTCCTCAGCCAGAATCTAACAGGACAACATACAAAACATAGCTCCAAAAGGGTGCTAGGACATCGCTAAGACATCAAAACACTAATGGTCATGTTAAGCATGCTGCTTTTTGTACACAGTCAAATGATAAGACATAACTGTTTGTCCGTTCCCTGCAGGAACTATATCTATTCACCCCTGTGTGAGCAACAGCTCTCCATCAATTATTCAAATCCACAAGTGGACTTCTGCAGAGTTTTTACTGGAAGCATTCATTAAATTGTCTGTTGACGCTGGACTGAGAAACACTATTATGGTTTACGGTACTGGGGTGTGGAGGGATGGGGCGGGATAGAGTCCTATATGTTAGACAAAGTTAGATTCCCTCCTTGAACTGAACAAACAACAGAAAGCAGGAGATACTTGGAGTCAGATGTTCACCGAAAGCTCAGGGCCAGATTTTTCAAGCACTCAGTACTCACAATCAGGGTCAGATTTTCAAAAGGGCACCCATCTAGGTGCCTGTATGAAGAGCAGATTTTTGAAATGGCTTAGTACTCAGCCACAACTATGGGGATACTTGTGGTCAGATTTTCAAAATAGCTCAGCACGTTGCCCTTGTAGATTGAGACTGGACTCCTAGATAGTTAACAAACATCAAAAAACAATCACTTTTGCACTAGGGTGTAAATAGTTTAGCCAGACATATCTTACTGCTGATATCCCGGTAACTCTGTGGAACAACTTGCATATGAGGAGTGATTAATAAGATTGGGACTGTTCATCTTAGAAAAGAGATGACTAAGGTAGGGACATAATAGAGGCCTATAAAATCATGAATGCTATGGAGAAAATGAATAAGGAAATGTAATTTATCCTTTCACATAACACAAGAACCAGGGGTCACCCAATGAAATTAATAGGCAGCAGGTTTAAAATAAAGATAAGGAAGTACTTCTTCACACAATGCACAATCAACCTCTGGAACTCATTGCCAGGGGATGTTGTGAAGACCAAAAGTATAACTGAGTTCAGAAAAGAATTAGATAAACTGATGGAGGTTAAGTTCATCAGAGGCTATATGCAACCCCACACTCTGGGTGTTTCTAAACCTCAGACTGCCAGAAGCTGGGACTGGACGACAGTCCTACTTGATAAATTGCCCTGTTCTGTTCATTCCCTCTGAAGCATCTGACACCAGTCACTGTCGGAAAAACAGGTTACTGGGCTAGATGGACCATTGTTCTGACCCAGTATGGCCGTTCTTATGTTCTTAATGACAGAGGTTTAACAGAGCAAGCAGTCAAATGCAAAGTGAGAGGCTGATAGGATTTTATTGTGTTTATTTTAAAAGACTTTATTTTTATTCAGGATTACTTTCATTTAAAGTAATGACATATTTTAACTTGGAATAAGTGGAGGAAAAAGAGGCCTGAATTCTAAATGTGAAAACTGAATTGATTCCTCTGTGTAAGACAGAAATAATTCCACAGTGGATGAAATAGCATTTAATGGCAGTTTATATGTTCATGGCATTGATATTAGATGTAGCGTTGCAGTCAATCCTTCTGCAAATACATCCATAACGAGATGCTCAGTTGGTGAACATTGGTGTAGATCCATTGACTGGAGTAGAGTTATGATGATTTACACTAGCTGAAATTTCTGTCTAACAGTATAAAACATACATACCAAATGAATTTGTGGTTTCTATGACTAGTAAAGCAAATTACTTGGAGGCATCTGAGATGGGGAACTTCCCAATGCTAACAGTAGGCCCAATGGCCTGGGAAATTTTCACTTTCCCAATCAGATAATCTTAACTGGCCAGTGGACAAGGAAGATAGTGAATGGACATTCACAGTAAAAGGTTACCCTGAATAGTCTGTCTGCTTTAAATTTCTTCAAGGCATTCACACAAATAAAAAATATTCCTGTATACAAAGATACACTGATAAGAATGAAAAAATTTCCCACAAGCTCCCATCACGGTTAATAATGCATCTAGATGCCACTGACGGTGCTTAACAATGGAAAGATGACATTACTAGATTACTTCTCTGTTTACTTGAGCCCTGGAAGCATGGTCTTACCTGAGCGATTATTAGGAGACATGCGCACTGGTGAGATGGAGGGCGTGCGTGATGAAGAGTATGGTCTTTGCCGATCCCGCTCTATTGTTGAAGATGAGGCTACAAAGTGATACTGTGACCATCCATCCTGCATGAGGACAACATCAAACATTGGGACAGGTTTCAGTGAAAAAGATGCATATATACAATACTCCATTTAATGTAAATAATATTTCTATTTAATTAGTGTTTTCACTAATTATTATGAATACTCAGTTACAATAATTACATATTAGCTCACAACGGCTACTCTGTTCTCCAGTGCTAGGCTGATTTACTCTGCCGATTTACAGCATGCCAAGTATGCTCAACGCTAGAAAATATAAGATGGTGCTCAGGGTCTGTCCACACAACAGGGTAATGCCCTCTATGGGAGAATGGGGAGGCGTGATTTCTAAAGTGCACTGATGTGTTGCACATTAATTGGTATGTGGAAACCCTGCTGGTGCACTCTAAAAGTTCCCTGACATAATGCTGTTAAATCACACTAGGGAATTATTAGTGTGCACCACTAGGGTCCATGTGGACCAATTAATGCACAACATGTTAGTGGATTTTATAATGCAAACCCTCCATAGTGCACATTTTCCCACTGCATAGACAACCCCCAGACACTACAATACCCCAAAATACCTACAACAGACACAAAGACAATCCCTTTTAGGGCTGTGCAAAATTATGCAGAATTTGAATACAATTTTAGGCATTTTCATTCTGCCCTTTTTCACACCTCTACTTTTCCTGAAATGTCATAAAAATGATAAGCCAGCTGTGAAAATATGCAAAATCATGATATTTTGTCTGTTTTTACAATGTAAACATTTTTTCCTCGAAAACAGTTCTATTACAAAGGAACATTTTAATTTTGCAAGAAAATGTTAAATGGCTAGATGAGCATTCAAGCCTTTTGAATTTTGTGTAAATATTTCACACACCCTCTAGTCTAGTTAATACACTGAGATTGTTCAGCTGTTTGTTCATAACTGGGAAACAAGAGTATGTTCTTTACAATGTTTTATTATAATATAATGCCCATTTTCCCAGCCCTGTTTTCTCTAGGGTGCACAGAAAAAGTTGCCCTCTGTATTTGAAATTGAAATGTGTAATGATATGAACATTTCTAAGTTAGCTGCTGTTCAAGTTCATATTACTGAAAATAACTTTATTTGTTCAGGAGTCAAACACTGGAGAGCCTAAAGCTGCTTTATGGTCTAACATAACATAACATAAATACTAAACAGTAACATTTTTTCTTAATTAATTAAACTAGCATGAAAGCATAATGAGAGCTAAAAGGGCTATTAGTAGCTCTGATATTGGACTCCACTATATTATTTCAGATGCTACAAAATATTTACTGATGAAATATCTTTATCATCTGTAAATCTTGTGCCAAATCTGTAATGTAAGTTTACCAACTTGGGCACAAAATCTACTTGCCACTCTTACGATAACACTTTACTTAGTCCTTGAAAAAAATGCTTTCCAGGGACCTGATCCAACTCCCATTGACCTCAATGAATATTGGGTCAAGTCCCTAGTGAGGAGGCAAAAAGAATTTTGCAAGGCTGATATAAGTGTGATTAAAAATATACATTATAAACATTGTTAAAAACTGGCTCCAATTTCCCTCTTAATTTGGCTATTTTGCTATATGAAAAGTAATTGCCACCACCTGTACTTTCAGAACACTCTGCTGAGGAAAAGTGGTGCTGTTTTTCTTTTTTAAACAGCAAAAGCAAAGAAGATGCTTGCTTATTAGATTTCTATCTATACATAATATTGATAACTTGAAATAAACACACTCAATGTACAATTAAAAGCACTGAATGCACATCTCTTCCCTCTATGTTGTTTGCATAGTGCATTGGTAAGTGGCTGTGTGTCAACTGTGAAATTACAACACACGTTTAAAATGAAAATTAAAAGAGTGAAATTTGGGTCATAGCTTTTGAAGATGGGTCCATTATTTTCATTGGAGTGGCTAGCTATAGAGCATTTGTTCATATAGGAAAGTGATGTTTGTGCCTCTTCTCAGGATCTATATGTCCCCAGGCAGTGAAGGGTCATATAGAAAATGTAGGGAGAAAAACAGAGAGCCAATAAAGATAGTAAGAATTACTAGAAAATGTCAGTTAATCCTTATTACCAATGATAAGAAAGAATTTTCTAAATCCAATCAATCATCTCCAGCAAGCAGATGACTTAGAAGCATTTATAAATCCATTGTATGCCCACATCTTGAATACTGCGTGCAGATGTGGTTGCCCCATCTCAAAACAGATATATTGGAATTAGAAAAGGTTCAGAAAATGGCAACAAAAATGATTAGGGTATGGAATGGCTGCCATATGAGGAGAGATTAATAAGACTGCAACTTTTAAGCTTGGAAAAAAGACAACTAAGGGGGGATACGATAGAGGTCTATAAAATCATGACTGGTGTGGAGAAAGTAAATAAGGCAGTGTTATTTACTCCTTCTCATAACACAAGAACTAGGGGTCAACAAATGAAATTAATAGGCAGCAGGTTTAAAACAAACAAAAGGAAGTATTTTTTCACACAATGCACAGTCAACCTGTGGAACTCCTTGCCAGAGGATGTTGTGAAGGCCAAGAATCATAGAATATCAGGGTTGGAAGGGACCTCAGGAGGTCATCTAGTCCAACCCCCTGCTCAAAGCAGGACCAATTCCCAACTAAATCATCCCAGCCAGGGTTTTGTCAAGCCTGACCTTAAAAACCTCTAAGGAAGGAGATTCCAGCACCTCCCTAGGTAACCCATTCCAGTGCTTCACCACCCTCTTAGTGAAAAAGTTTTTCCTAATATCTAACCTAAACCTCCCCAACTGCAACTTGAGACCATTACTCCTTGTTCTGTCATCAGGTACCACTGCGAACAGTCTAGATCCATCCTCTTTGGAACCCCCTTTGAGGTAGTTGAAAGCAGCTATCAAATCCCCCCTCATTTTTCTCTTCTGCAGACTAAACAATCCCAGTTCCCTCAGCCTCTCCTCATAAGTCATGTGTTCCAGCCCCCTAATCATTTTTGTTGCCCTCCACTGGACTCTTTCCAATTTTTCCACATCCTTCTTGTAGTGTGGGGCCCAAAACTGGACACAGTACTCCAGATGAGGCCTCACCAATGTCGAATAGAGGGGAATGATCACTTCCCTCGATCTGCTGGCAATGCCCCTACTTATACAGCCCAAAATGCCGTTAGCCTTCTTGGCAACAAGGGCACACTGTTGACTCATATCCAGCTTCTCGTCCACTGTAACCCCTAGGTCCTTTTCTGCAGAACTGCTTCCTAGCCATTCGGTCCCTAGTCTGTAACAGTGCATGGGATTCTTCCATCCTAAGTACAGGACTCTGCACTTGTCCTTGTTGAACCTCATCAGGTTTTTTTTGGCCCAATCCTCTAATTTGTCTAGGTCCCTCTGTATCCTATCCCTGCCCTCCAGTGTATCTACCACTCCTCCCAGTTTAGTGTCATCTGCAAAGTTGCTGAGAGTGCAGTCCACGCCATCCTCCAGATCATTAATGAAGATATTGAACAAAACCGGCCCCAGGACCGACCCCTGGGGCACTCCACTTGAAACTGGCTGCCAACTAGACGTGGAGCCGTTGATCACTACCCATTGAGCCCGACGATCTAGCCAGCTTTCTATCCACCTTATAGTCCATTCATCCAGCCCATACTTCTTTAACTTGCTGGCAAGAATACAGTGGGAGACCGTATCAAAAGCTTTGCTAAAGTCAAGGAATAACACATCCACTGATTTCCCCTCATCCACAGAGTCAGTTATCTCCTCATAGAAGGCAATTAGATTAGTCAGGCATGACTTCCCCTTGGTGAATCCATGCTGACTGTTCCTGATCACTTTCCTCTCCTCTAAGTGCTTCAGAATTGACTCCTTGAGGACCTGCTCCATCATTTTTCCAGGGACTGAGGTGAGGCTGACTGGCCTGTAGTTCCCCGGATCCTCCTTCTTCCCTTTTTTAAAGATGGGCACTACATTAGCCTTTTTCCAGTCATCCGGGACCTTCCCCGATCGCCATGAGTTTTCAAAGATAATGGCCAATGGCTCTGCAATCACATCCGCCAACTCCTTTAGCACCCTCGGATGCAGCGCATCCGGCCCCATGGACTTGTGCTCGTCCAGTTTTTCTAAATAGTCCCCAACCACTTCTTTCTCCACAGAGGGCTGGTCACCTTCTCCCCATACTGTGCTGCCCAGTGCAGCAGTCTGGGAGCTGACCTTGTTCGTGAAGACAGAGGCAAAAAAATCATTAAGACTATAACAGGGTTAAAAAAAGAATTAGATAAGTTCATGGAGGATAGGTCTATTAATGGCTATTAGCCAGGATGGACAGAAGCTGGGAATGGGCAACGGGATGGATCACTGGATGATTACCTGTTCTGTTCATTCCCTCTGGGGCACCTGGTATTGGCCATTGTCGGAAGACAGGATACTGGGCTAGATGGACCTTTGGTCTGACCCAGTATGGCCATTCTTATGTTCTTGTAAGATGTGCCCTTCAAGCTCTAGAGCCAATGATGATGTTAAAACCCGATATTATTTTCAAGTGCACAACTACTGTTTTTTTCTTAATGTTAAACCAAATTGGAAATGATCAGACACTACTTAAAGCACACGGAGACATAAAACAAGAGCTAAGAGTTAAAAGTCTTTGAAATGTCATAACATATAGTTCAATTCCATTTATCTTACCTATTTATCCCCACCCACAGTTCAGGATCTTACACAGTAGTCTCAGAAAACTTTATAAATAAAATTTTACCAGGTACACATCTTAGTTAATATTAACTTACATAATAACTTATTCTCTATGATAATCACACACTTATTACTTTGAAATCTTTGATCCCAGTGAGGAGCACTGATCCACTCTTCCCTCTTTCCATTCTCTTGAGATTAGCAGTTCTCATAGGACTGGCGGCAGGCTTTTCACATTTCTAATTATTTTATTTTAAAGTGACAGATCTGCTAGCCCAAGCGGAGGAGACGTGAGGGCAGAAGTGGGGAGCAGGCCACCCTCTGGGGAGATCTGATGTCAAAGGAGG